AAAAAAAGGAGCACCCAATTGCAATGAACCTCTTCGTTCAACACCAGTGAGCGCACATATTCACACCACATACATGTATGAGATCACATGAAGTTCACACTGTAGACCAGAGAGATGAAAACCAGGTAGCGCAGCTTATGAATTCCAACAAGATATTGCAAGAGCAGTAAGAGTTCCAAGTCACCAGCGCACAACAGCGCATGTCAAAGGTAACCAGTAACCGGCGTAAGCTTTCGGGAGAGTATCTCTTCTCCACCACTCTTCTCTCTCATGTATCTCTCCTCCTTACTGGTCTTCTCCCTAGCTATGACTTCGCTGTCTTCTCTCCCTACATACCTTCACACTTGCGAGGCACAGGGCCTCGATATGCCCTACAGGGCCTATTTTCCACACAGTCGGCCGCCCTAAGTGAAGGCAGGCACGACCGAGGCCTACAAGCCATTTTGGGGTCACCACGCAGCTGGGGAAATTCAGGCAGTTGCGCAGTGCCAGATGGTTGGAAGCGCCCGGGCCAAGGCTGCCTTTCATTGCATGTAACTGAGGCAGGCCTTGGGCCGGATACACAAGTGGACCAAACAAAGGCTGAGGGCAGTTGGGTGCGGGTAACCAACACAGGCCCTGGGCCTGTTGACTTCGGACTGAGGCTCAGCCTCCCTGGGCCTACTGGAAGCTTCTGGGTCGGGGCCCAGTACCGCAGCACAGCACGCAGCTGCAGGCCACTTCGATATAGGGAAGGGCCTGCCTACGCATTGGACATTCGGGTGCTGGCTGCATGCTGCGCAAGCGCTGCTGCGCTGAAGCTGGCTAGCGCTCACGCGCTCACGGGCGAGCTGGAAGGAGCAGGCAGCCATAGCCGAGCTGCCCTGCTGGGAGCTGGGTGAGGCGCAGGGTGGTCCTTGGGTGCATGTGGCATCTGTGTGTTGGGGAACGAGGTTGTGAGTGATCCGAGAGACATACCTGGTGCTTGAAGCGTACGGCATTGTCCGAGATCTGCTCGTACTTCAGGGAGCTGTTGACGTCATCAGCGGCATCGTAGAGTAGGCTAGATAGGATCTGCCATCTGTAGTCTGGGCGCCAAACGCCAGGTAGGATATCAACATTGGTTCTTCGTTGATGATGATGAGACTATTCCAGCATTGTCAATTATGAGCTTTTGGTGTGCTCTTATTTTGGTGAAACTCGTGATGCAATTCTGCTATTGGTTCGAGGTCACGACTATCTGGTCACATGTGTATGATGCTGTTTGATTTCTGAAGTTCGCTATTGCTCATCTTCCTTGCACACTCACTATCTACTACTCATGGATCTACTCTGAATACACCCACTGTTAGGCCTACTAACTATCTGAAGTCTAACTAACACTCTGTACTGGCGCAGCTATGGCTGCCTTCTCCCTGCCAGCACTAAACTTCCTCTCTCTCTCTCTCTCTCTCTCTCTCTCTCTCTCTCTCTCTCTCTCTCTCTCTCTCTCTCTCTCTCTCTCTCTCTCTCTCAGTGCATCACTCTGGCTCCATCGCTCTGCTCTTCACTACAGTGCACAAGTGCACCAGCACCCACACTTCTTGCGAATGAGCAATCTGATCCGAATGGGAGGCTGTCCAGTCGTTTTGTAGTTTTGGATTGCACTTCAACTCGTGCCAGCCTCTGCTTCCTGGGTCTGCCTGGGTTCCGGTACCACATTCCCACGGCCTGTCTGCTTCTGAATGTCAAGGCCTGGAACCTTCCCGAATTTCCATTGGCCTGCTGCTGCTTGGGCCTTCGAGTCATAACTTTTCGAGTTTGGCATATGGATTTGACTGTGGATTGTGACTCCTGCCTCTGAGACACGACTCTTGCTTATGGGACTGCCCTTTCACTCGTGGGATGTGACTTTTCAATGTAACTTTTCATTATGGGACGTGACTTTTGCCCCTAAGACGTCTGTTTACTGGGTACCTGACTGTGACTTTTCTGAATTTGACGAATTCGGCCTTTCTTGACCACGGCCTCTGACCCTATGACCCGAATTTGAGGTCTGAATCGTGGAAGGCCTTTCACAATCCTGACACAGTCAAAAATTCTCAAAATCAATTAACAATGAGCGACGGCAGGAAAACAGAGATAAATAAGAAAAGGCTAATCCTCATTTGAACCACCCACCTCTGTTCTGCGACAGCGTCCTCGACTAACCCCCTCCTCCTCCTCCTCCTCTTCCTCTTCAGAAGTCTCATTCTAACAGTACAAAATCTTTTTCTTTTTTTTTTTTTTTTAGAATTCACCGCTTTCCAAGCAGGAGCTGACATTGCCACCTAAAACAACTTCCAGTTGCAACAAATATCGGCTCAGTTCAATTTCGTTAAGAAAAACTAGAGAAATGGAACAAAATAAAAGAATCACAGACTGAGAAAACGAAAGTGCAAGGATTTGAACCCTCGGCACACCCGCATATGGGCCCCACTGCATACATGTGCCAGCCCTAAGTGAAGTCGGGCCTCCGCCGAATCTTTTCTCATCGAGGCCAGAATTCGTCAATTTTGCAAGCCCTGGGTGGGCGCCAGACAGTTGCCAGTGCCAGTTAGTTACACACGCCCTGCTCGTGAGAATCAGAAAAAATTGTGAGCCTTCTAGTCTTTTCAAGCTGCGCAGTGCAAACAAGGCCCACCTCACGTTTACGCACAGGTGGTTGGGCACACGTAACCAATTCGGTCCGAGGCCGCTGTCTGAACGGGCTTGGGCGCAGACAATTTGGTCCAACTCGAAACTAGAGGGACACGGGCGGCCCAAGGCAGGTAGCAAAGCGGGCGAGAACTTTCCATTTAGGAAAGAGCTCGCCACCGGATGACACATTCGGGCACTTGGTCGTGCGTGCGGTAGCGCTGCTGGAGCGTTTGCTCGCGCGTGAGGCATGCGGGCGCTGGTGCAGAAGTGGCGAGCGCGGTTGCTGGAGAAGGGCGCTGCAAGCAGGCAGTGCCATAGCTCGGCCCACCATAGTCGGGCTGATCTTGGACGGTCAATGGGGGTTGGCCGTGGTCTTCGGATGGTGAAGAGACGTGGCAGGAGAAGACGAGGGTGAGCATGGGAGATGGCGAGGGGGGGAGTGAGGTGAGAACACGTACCTGGTCCTGGCGGAGGTCTGCATGGTCGACACCTGCATGTGCTTTGGTTGTTGCTGCTGCTGACGTCAACGGGTTTTTGACATTTTGCAGGCTCGCTTCGTACCTGTAGGCTGGTAGTCTGGGCGCTGAGAGCCGATAGGTGGAAGAGCTCCGATTACTTTGTTGGTGGTAGCGAGCGTATGCTTTCATTGACAATTGAGTTCACTGCTTTGGTTCTCCTTCAGCGCGTTTTCAATGCATTTCTGCTTTGCGGACAGCTTACAATTATCTGGCAAAAAAAAAAAAAAAAAAAAAAAAAACTACTATCTGGCATTCAATGTGATTTTGCAATCTGGAATTTTGTCATTTCACTTTTGCTCATTTTCCTTGCAGGTAGCGCCTTCGCTCCTTGGTGTCCGAAAAATCTCCCAACACCTTTTCGCAATCAGGGCCATTGTTATCAAAGGAACCAAGCAGCACTGCCAAACAGGAAAAAAATGCCACCAACTGCCACCAAGCTAAAAAAAAAGAAAAAAGAAGAAGGAAAAAAAAAAACTACAAGGATGCAGAAGAAACAACTTCGCATCTTTTTTGGAAACTGATGGTGCAATCTTTTATTTCAACTGCCGATTTCTCCCCCCCTCAGTTTATGAAAAAAAATGTGTCCGACCCGTCTTCACCCGAATAAAACGCCCGGTCATCATCACTGTATCTGGACCGCAACTTGGCCCTAATGCAGCTATAATGACCGGGTATGGTAGTCTCTTTTCATAAACTGAGGGAAGGGGGGGGGGGGAGAGGGGAAATCTGCATTTGAAATAAAAATTTGCCAGCCAATCAAACATTGCACAGCATGTATATCTATTTTGGGGGGAAAGAAAGTGTCACGCGACAATCTCTCGCTTTTCATGAGGACAATTGACACAAATAATCTACAAAAACCTGCAACTTCTCTTTTTCATTTTTTTTCCTTTTCAAATCGACCCGGCCAGCCATTGGCTGCCAATCAAGTCTCAAAAAAAAAAAAAAGATTTGAGAAATTTGTAATACAGAGCATGGGTGCTCCTTGGTTCCAGCACTGGAATCCACCTCCTCCCCTCAGAACAATGTCTGTCGACGGCAAACAGGGATGTGTTTTCTTTGTTTTTCTTTTTCATAGGCAAATCTCTCCTAAGATTACCCCCCCCCGCCCCCCCCCTTGTCGTCTATCGCTACAGAGCTACAGCGTCATCACGACAGCTCGCGCCACCCCACTCCAACCTACTCTTTAAGTCCTCTCCTGCTCCTGCTACAGCCTGCCACGATGGCGCAGGTCCCTCCTGCTGCTCATCAGCCCACGATGGCGCCACGTTTGTGCTCCTCGCGCCTCGCCAGTATGCGCGCGTCCCTCCCCTCCCCCTCCCCCTCCCCCCTCACCCTCCCCTCCTCTCTATCCTCACAGATTTTTTTCATTTTCTTACTGCGCATTCTTAATCCTTTCCCCCCCAGTCTTCCCGCCTCCACCTCCTGCCCTACTGCACGCCTGCTTTTCCGCCTGCTGTTCGATCGCCTCACAGGGGTATGATTACAAGGAGGGATGGATCGAATTTTCTGGGGAAAAGTTGTTGATGCCCCCCGCGGCAAAACCTTTGTCAAATTTCCACCCCAAAATGGACGCGCCATGCGGGAGGTCCCCAAAAAGAACTTTTTGTCCTTCTTGCACCCTGGCTGGGCTGGTAGATCACTTTCCCACCTTTTTTGCACAGCGGGCCCTGCTGGCTTTACCGGCCCAGCCAGACTGCAGAAACGATGCGAGGCCCCCTGAAAATACTTTCTGAGTCGTTTTTGCGGCCTGGCTGGGCCGGTAACGCCAGCAGGGCCCGCTGTGCAAAAAAGGCGGGAAAGTTGATCTACCGGCCCAGCCGGGGTGCAAGAAGGACAAAAAGTTTTTTCGGGGGACCTCCCGCACGGCGCGTCCATTTTGGGGTGGAAATTTGACAAAGGTTTTGCCGCAGGGGGCATCAACAACTTTTCCCAATTTTCTGAGCCTGATCTCGGCGAAGGGAGATCAGAATGGCAGACAGAATGGCGATGAGACCGAAACTGGTCAAGGCCTACGCCAGCTACGGTAGCTTTCCACTGTCACAACAAATCCTCTTGAGTTTTTTTGCGCTATCTCACTCTCGGTGGCAAGTACACACAAGGCAATTTGCGCGGGAAGAATAACCGGGACTTGCTAACGGAACTGCCAGCCCATTCCCTCCCTCTTCGAAGTAAACTCAAGAGGATTTGCGCGGGAATTAGTAAAAAAAAAAACGCCCATTCCCGCCCTCTGGGCAGTAAACAACACACAAGGGGATTAATTTGCACGGGAAGAAAAAAAACGTCCATTCGCGGGAAGAAAAAAACGTCCATTCCCGCCCTCTAGGAAGTACACACAAGAGAAATTTCTGCGGGTTTCACTGGGACTTGCAAATAGGACATGGCATTGGATTGGATCGGATGAGATCAGATTGGATTAAATTGGATTGGATTGGATTCGATTGGATTGGATTGGATTACATTCATTGGATTGGATTGATTGAATAGGATTGGATTGGGTTGGATTGGATTGGATTGGACTGGATTGGATTGGATTGGATTGGGTTGGATTGGATTGGATTGACATGGGATTCAATTGGATTGGAGTGGATTGGAGTGGATTGGAGTGGATTGGAGTGGATTGGACTGGATTGGATTGGATTGGATTGGATTGGATTGGATTAGATTGGATTGGATTGGATTGATACCTTAATTAGGAACCGCATTAGGCGGAACCATGCAAGTAACCTCGCAAGCGTCCATCGCCGTTTTCGATGATGATGATGATGATGTTGATGCCGAGGCTGAGCTTGTAGAAGGGTTGCAGAGTGGCTCGGCGAAGAAGAAGAAGAAGAAGACGATGGAGATGGCGGCGTCGAGTCGTTGGAGGCCTGCTTAGAAGCCATTCGAGTTCGAGAAGAAGGTTTACGCAACTCATCTGAATTCTTATTGTGGCTGGAAACAAAGATCGGCAGAAACAACTTCCTTCGCTGCTGCCCAATCAATCAATCAAACAATCAATCAGCCAGTCAGTAAGTCGATCAATCAAACAATCAATCAATCAATTGCATCATAGAGTATCAGATCAGAGCATGCATGCATGCATGTATATACATTCGAAAGTCAAATAAGGGGTCAGATTAGATTCACATGACATTAAGATAGGTGGAGCAAATACGATCAGATTACCTCTATCAGAATCGGATGAGATTTAATTAAAAAAAGAAATCAGACAAGATCAAAACGCATAAAGATTAAAACAGAAAGCAGATTACACCTCATCGGGATAACAGATTGGATTGATACACCTGATCGGTATATAACAGATTGGATTGAATCCGTGAAGATTATTAGGTCACATTATAGGAGGTTGAAGTAGAAAAGCAAATCAGGTTACATCGATCCGATCAGATTCCCTCGGATCGGATCGGATCGGATCGGATCGGATAGGGATCAGATAGGGATTGGATAGCGATGGGATAGGGATCGGATAGGGTCAAATCGGATTGGAATCGGCTAGGGTCGGGTCGGATCGAATTGGATCGGATCGGATCGGATCGGGATCGGATAGGGATCGGATAGGGTCAAATCGGATTGGAATCGGCTAGCGTCGGGTTGGATCGAATTGGATTGGATTGGATCGGATCAGATCGGATCGGATAAGATCAGATAGGGATATAGCATAGGATCCGATCCGATCGGATCGGATAAGATCAAATACGGATATCGCATAGGATCATACAAGGATCGGATAAGATCAAATACCAGAAAAACTCGGAGTTGAGGGAGGAAAATCACAACCGGACCAAATCAGATTACCTCGGATCGGATCAGATTACCTCGCAGATTGGATCAGATCGGATCAGATTGGATCAGATTGGATCAGATTGGATCAGATTGGAGTATCGGTTAGAATCGGATAGGATCGGATAGGGTCGGATAGGATTGGCTCGGGTACAATTAAAAGGGGCAGACAACGATCAGAGTGGAGGGAGCTAAATTAGACCGAATCTGATCGGATAGGATGGGATCAGATAGCAGAGAAGGTCAGAATGAAGGGACCAAATTTCCACCGAGTCGGCTCGGATCGGATAAAGGATCAGAGAAGATCAGAGTACCGAGAACAAGATTACACCGGATCGGATCAGATGATTACCTTGGATCGGATCGGACCAGATCAGATCGGATCGGATCGGATTGGGTAAGATAGGACAGGGGACGATCGGATCGGATATAAGATCAAAGAGCAGAGAAGATCCGCGGTGGAGGAAGCTACATTATATACTGGATCGGATCAAGATGATTACCTTGGATCCAATCACATGGATAGGATAGGGTAAGATATGATAGGACAGAATAGGATACTATAGGATAGGATAGGATAAGATATGATACCATAGGATCTGACATCATAAGATAGGGTGGATAGGATAGGATACGACAGAATAGGATACGATATGATACCATAGGATAGGACATCATAGGATAGGGTGGAAAGGATATGTTTGGGTTGGGATAGGGATAGGGATAGGGATAGGGATAGGGATAGGGATAGGGATAGGATCGGATCGGATCGGATAAGATTGGATAGGATAGGCATAGGATAGGATAGGATAGGATAGGCATAGAATAAGATTGAAGAGCGGACAATATCACAGTGGAGGGAGCAAAATGGATTCGATAAGATAAGACTGGCCAATATAAGCTCACAGGAGACGGAACTGCAGTGAAACCGGATAAGAATTACATCAGACCTGATCAGATCAACACGATAAATGTAGGAAGGGTAGAGAGAGAGAGAGAGAGAGAGAGAGAGAGAGAGAGAATGCACATCTAGATGTGTATAAGAGACAGGTCTGCTG